GTGTGTACATTAATGAGGAAAAAAAATTAACTTAAATGATTTTAGCAAATGGCTGCAATATAACAAAGAGTGAAAAATTTAAGCGGGTCTGAATACTTTCCGTACCCACTGTATATTAGGTGATACAACTCTCCTGATATCATAAAAAAAAAAAAACCAATTCTTATTAAAAATAATACAAAAAAATATTTTAACAAAACAGCTTTACTGGCTGCTTATTAATTTTTTGAAAAATATTATGGTCCAGCCCCCCCCCAAAAAAAGTTGTAAAATGTCATGTGGTTTCACTGCCCTAAAACTTAATTATATTTATGAATTAATACTTAATTTCTAAAAGCATTTTTGAAAGTCGTGATTAAGATACTCACATGTATTCAAGGTGAAATCAAAGATTACATTTCTATGGCATGTGAGTTTTAAACTAGATTTTTATAATGATTTTAATAATTTAATGATTAATATTTGCTCCAGGGGAATTGTACTTGAACTAATGTACTATAGGTTGCTTTAAATACAAATCACAATGTTGGCTATTCTGAGAGTTGAAGGCCTGAAACAGCTTGTGGACTGATAAATAAAATGGAGACAATTTCAGTGCATTCAGCATGCAAGAGGATATTGATTTCTAGCTTTGTACATAAACAAACTTTACTTACAAATTCTTCCACACCAAATCCTCCCATTATGTAACCTATAACTCTCCCTTAACAGGTGTCAAGACAGATGCTGTCTGCTCCCCTCCTGTCTTATCAACCCCAAAAATATGCCCCAGTTCTAATATAAAACATTTACTAAAAACAAGAACCAGATGTTTCATAACTATACAACATTTCCCTTTTATCACCTGAAGTTGGCTTACCATTTAATTCCATAACATCATTATACTATACTGTAAGGTTCACATCAAATTGAAGAAAAAAAGATTGGAAGACTGTGACTTTCGATAAGATCTTGAATAAATGCAAAGACATTGAACCGTTCAACTTGCCAGGATGCATGTTTTTAACATTTACTGTAAATGCAAAAAGCCCATGTCTAAAGTCAATTACACACCTTATCCTGCCATCTTTCAAAGTCTTAATCTACAGCAGGCATAAAGGGGCCCTGACGCACATATTTCACCTGCAGCGCGTGCCGACACGCTTCCCATCTGCTGCACAGTCTAATAAATGTTTTCAAGGTGTATTACTATCATTGTGCTGATAATTGATATTAAACACGGCTCACAGCTTTATCACAAAATTGCATTGATTGTACTGCAGTAATTTATCCAATATGATAAAAATAATCTGTGATACTGTATGAGCAATAAGTGAACAGCTAAAACATTCTTTAAAAATCTTATTTTGTGTTCTACAGAAGATCGTAATTCATATGGGTTTGGAATTATATGAGAATAAGTAAATTATGCCAATTTCATTTTTGGGTTACTATTACTTTAAAAACATGAAAAGGACTTTTCCCTTTAGACAATTCAAATTGTACACTTCCTAAGAGCTGCCATTGAGATGAATGGGAATGCACATGGAAAAACTAAAACTAAGACTAAAATGCGACTAAAATTAAAAGATTGAAACAATGGGTACCCAGCCGTGCAATTCTCATGTGAATGTGTGAGTCTTAAGCCAGTCGGAAACTCCACAGTGAGACTGAATGATTGACCAGGCTCCAGTCGTTCAGCCCGTTCATACCAACTCCAGCCCCTCAGATTCAGATGTGGATGACCACTGACCCAATTTCTGAAATTGTGGTTAATATTTGAGGTCAATAAACCTCAAATAAATGTTTTTGAGCAGAAAATCGGCATATTAGAATGATATCTGAAGGATCAGACTGGAATAATGACTGCTGAAAAATTGACATTTTAAAATATATTAAAATAGAAAATAGTTTTTTTTATTCTAATAATATTTTACCATTTTACTGTTTTTTTAACTGTAAAAAAAACATAAAACTTTAAATATTACTAACCCCAAACCTTTGAATATTATATTATATTATATTATATTATATTATGCTCTAAAAATGAAAGTCATTCTCAAATAAATGTAGTTTTTCCTAATGGCTGATTGCCCCAGTGGCTTTACATAGTTTTCTTTACAAAACATTTGTGTGGTAACCGCTCGATTCCACACTTTGGGGGGAAAATAAGGACCAGAGTTTTTTCCAGAAATGCCACACTATATTACTGTACGCATAGAGGAATCTCACCTCGTGTTGGATGTGGAACAGAGCGTTTATCCTCTTGAGCCTCTGCAGTCAAAGGGGTGGCAGAACGAGACAATGAGCTGCTGGAGGTTCGTGAACTCAGGCTGAGGGTGATTTCTGTCCGCCCCCGTGTTGTCGATCTTGGTTGTTCCCTTTTGTTTTCCTCTGCTGCCAGCCGCTCCAATTGCTTATATCTGCACACATCACATAAAACAATAAATGTCACTAAAAACATTATTATGTATGAGGGTAATTACACAATGCTCATTTTCATGTCCGAATTCAAAAAGAATATGTAGCTTAATGTTTTACTTATTGTAAAAATTTAACTTATCCATAAAATTATTTGAATAAACCTCTTCTATGATGAGTATGTTTTTCAATTCTGAATTAAAATTCATTTTGATATATTTTGGGGACATAAAGTAAAAAAAAATAAAATAAATAAAAATAAAAATAATATAAGGGGCCCTGACGCACATATTTCACCTGCAGCGCGTGCCGACACGCTTCCCATCTGCTGCACAGTCTAATAAATGTTTTCAAGGTGTATTACTATCGTTGTGCTGATAATTGATATTAAACACGGCTCAAAGCTTTATGACAAAATTGCATTGATTGGACTGCAGTAATTTATCCAATATGATAAAAATAATCTGTGATACTGTATGAGCAATAAGTGTATGATATAATTCATTATAAAGAAAGCAGAAAGATTTTCTGTCCATTATTACAGGGTCAGAAACATAAGGATTATTTCTATTTATCAAAACATCCTGAAAAATGTAAAAACGGAAAAAACTGTATCCACAATTTCCACAAAAACATTAAGCAGCACAACCATTTTCAATTGTGATAATAATAATAAATGTTTTTGAGCAGAAAATCGGCATATTAGAATTATATCTGAAGGATCAGACTGGAATAATGACTGCTGAAAAACTTTAAATATTACTAACCCCAAACCTTTGAATATTGTATTATATTATATTATATTATGCTCTAAAAGTGAAAGTCATTCTGGAATGTACCTTTCTTCTCGAGCTTGTCTGACCTCTTCTCTCTTGTCCTCATAATCCCGACTGCAATAAAGAAAATCAACATGAGCACACATGTAAAAAGTGAAAAAGAATGCCTTTTATATGTCTACCAAAGACAGTTGGAGTTATAATGTTTATTGTTAATCAAGTAGTAACCATTCAAGTTGGTGTTTTAATTTGTTATTACACAACAGTAGAGGCTGACTAAAAGACTTGGTATGTGGTAGGACTGACAAGCATACAGAGAGAACAAGCATTTGTCTTCCTGCAGCCCACCATGATTATTCACTGTCTGGTCTGAATGCTGTTTTCCTTTGAATGACCATAATAAGAAGCAATAACTTGTCCAGTCGGGAAAACTCCTAGATCTCTGATAAAATTTGGACGTAGGCCTCAGCTGCTTTTCTAGACTGCTGGACAGAATGTTTCTCATGGCCATCTCCAACATGAGAAATACTCGATGACGTTGGAAGCAGTGATGTTTTTGTCATATTCATGAAATAATGTAGCCCTGGGTGAAAACACACACTACATCAAAATGAAATGCTGAGAAAGTCCACAAACTTGAAACGGTTTCTCTCCTCTCTTTCAATGCGCTGAAGTCTCTCCTCTCTCTCCAGGCGCCTCCGCTCACGTTCAGCATTTAGAGACTCCTGGTGCTGCCTGTAGGAGGAGGTTAACAATCCACCTAGAGTAGACCTGGAGAACCAGAGAAACCAAAGAGGAACAGAATTTCAGAACAACAATACCTCAATATAGCAAGAATTATACTCTTGGGCATTTGAAGAGTTAAATATACTGTTTTAACATACTTGATTCATTTAGTATTTAGATCGCCCTGATGAACGACAATGTAATGCTGGTATGAGGAGGTTATCCAATCATAGTAAAGAACAGCTTTCAAATATGTTTTGAATATTCTCTGATGTTATTTTTATAATAATATCCATTTTAGCCTTAGAACTGTTACATTTGAAGATTACTGTGCAGAACAGAGCCATATACACATCAAAGAAGAACAGTGGCTCACCTGTCGGGCTTACTGTCTGCAGGTGTTCCTCCTGAGGGGCCGAAGCGGTTGTAGGGTGTGGAGGGGGCACTGGACACCCCAGATGACCTGCGAGGATACGTACCTGCATAGCCATTGCTAAAGGAAGGAAAAAAGAGAATTTAATTCAAAGTTCAGCCATATAACCGATTTGATCTGTAGGATTCTTTGTCCTGAAGTTTCCTCTTAAGAGCATAAAGCTAAAGTGTCGATTTATCCAAAAGAACTAATGGCCATCTTTTCCATTCACTTCATTTATCACACTTGACTTATCATCAGCTAGTACACACAGCCAAAGGGGGGGTGAAGCTCTGATTCCAAATGATGTCATGTATTTCCTCCATCAGGACCACAACAGACATTGTGAAGAGGCCAATGTGAAGCCTCACTCGACTGCCCAAACAGCCAAGGACACACAGACACACACAGGTGCTCTGCTAAATCCAGCTTTCACCCGAGTGAGTGACAAAATAAACTCTTCTCCCCAAATAAAGCAGCTTGCCAGTTCAGATCACTGACTGCAGATGTACGCGAAATGACCTTGTATTGGAAGATATGATTCAAGACATGCAGGGGTTTGTTTCTCTGTGCATTCCCACATCTTCATTAAAAGAGCTCAGTGACATGCTGTCATTCGCTCCCTACACTTGCCTCTATGTTTAAGTCTGCTGTGATTCATTACACATATTATCGGAGTAAGAACTCAGAGTTGGGAATGAATCCTGGCATTATACCAATGAATCAAACAAACAGACACTGTTTGAAATTCCAAAGTGTTCCAGCACCTAAAAACATAAAGAGATAACGCACTTTCTGTACAAGTGTTCTGAATTGTTTTTGGCTTGCCAAATGAAAACCTATAAATTAAAAAATTAAATTAAATTAAATTAAATTAAATTAAATTAAATTAAATTAAATTAAATTAAATTAAATTAAATTAAATTAACGTTGTCTTCATTTAATTTTTAACTCGTTCTTGTAATTGATTACAAATGTTTAAAATATATTAATATTAAAATGTGTTAAATATGCTTTTATGCTTTAAAACATTTTTTTTATGTAGACACCAAGAGATGAACAAGAAAAGATGGGATGAAGAACTTAGGAAATGACACAAGCCAGACTTGAACCCACATGACCTTTTGCATTTAAACTCTGCACCAAAGCTTGTTCCCTTACCTGCCACATGAACCGCATGATGTGTTTGAGTATCTAACATCTGACAGACTGCACAGAAGAGACAGAACATGAAAAGAAGTTAGTAATCGACACATAATTACATAAAAGATTAGTCTGACTGACAGCTGGGACAGAAGAAGAGGACAAAGGGACAAGTGCAGTCGAGAGACAAGTACAGTGACAGAAAGTGAATCAAAGCAGTATCTATTTATTAATTTAAAAAAAACAAAGATCTTGTTAATTAGCCAGCAAGGACAGCAGAAGGGGAAATATAAGTAATTTTCACCTTTAAGAGCCCACCAATAATAATAATAAAATTATGTAAGTGGCATAAAATCCACTACAATATATTAGCACTTTTTGCATGAAAAAAAACGACAGAATACATGGCTAGTTTTGAAAGGTTATCAATGGAGAAAGATGCTTTTTGGTGTAGTTACAACACCTACCAGCAGGGGCAAACTGGACCATGCTAACCAAACAAATCTTGACTCCTTGCTTGCCATTTCTAATCTGTGGCAGTTAAATTGGCTGTGTCATCAATAGTTGCCTAGTTTTCCCAGAAGAGAAGATTTCACGACTTTAATAGCGTACTGTGCCGTTAGCTTAAGACAGCTGTGTAATTAGGTTTTTAAATATTAAAGAGTCCACATTTGCATAGAGTCAGCAGACTAAAAAAAGAACTGTCTTTGATCCACTTTATAATCCAGATGGGTTCCTCAAGCTGCCACAGTCTTAATGTCAAGCAAACATGCACATGACATTGCAAAGCATTTTCAGCTTTATTCTCATGAAATGTGGGCCCTACAGGCACTGTCCAGGGGTGAAATACAATTGCCCTTTTATATGTGACTTAATTTACAGGCTTCTCTTGGCTCTGTAGTGGTACAATGCACCAATTAAAGGCAGATGAGCTATAAATGTCAGTAAAAGTTAGCATCCTTTAGGGAGTGTCTTGCACTACAGTGGCTGGTTCAAGGGAAAAAAGACTTTTGTTTATAAAACGATCTGTCTTTTTGCATTCCATCAAATATTAAGGAAGCAACATAAAGCCCATAGTGTATAATGATTTATCAGGCTCTGATCATACTGGTATCAATTCCTTCTTTTATTGGTCTGAGGATTTGACATATAAGACAGAATAAGCCACATATTGCACATGACCATAAGTTAAGACACAGCAAGCGTAGCACTTTTTATGAGGGTGCAATTTTTGGAAGATACAGGACGTTTTACAGTGTTCTCTTGGAAGCAGGTACAAAGGGATAGGGTGATGATCCACTGGGTGAGGGTCTGACTCTTTTCAGAGGTGGGCTTGATGGAACAGGCAAAACAATAAACCCTCGCCATTCACAGGAGATCCAGAGATCAAGCGAATCCCATGCCACACTTCCTTCCTAGAGGATGAAAGTTCCACAAATACTGTGGTCATAGTGTTTGTGAGAGTTGAATCAATAAAATCAGACATGGGTTTCCTAAGTTCATCTCTCAGGGATCTCATAGCTTGACATACAGTATGTGGGAGTGAAAGTCATTCTCTGAAATTGACATGCAACTTTAAATGGCTCTATTCCAAACTTTACTGTCTAAATAGGTGTCTCTCTCTCAAGACAGGAACCTAATAGAACTCGACTTGAAACACTTTACATAGGCAGCAACTCCAGACATTCACACACAGCCCACAAGTAGCACTCCTCATGTGAACTACACTTCACACACCTGATTCCAATAGAGTTGCATAGCTCATCACATTGATAACACAACATCTTTTGTGTCAGGAACACAGAATCATTGCCTATGATCCCTAACTATGCTGTCTACTTAGGCAGCTTATTAATTTGGAACAGAGCCCACCTGCACAAGCATGGAATTGTTCTGTGAGTGGCGAGAATCTACTGCATCTATCTGCACTACCTGCAGTGCTTGTCTGGGTCTCGACCCTGCGGAGTGCCCACAGACACCTCGTCCAAATCCACTGGGCAAGTAGGAAGAAGGGTGGAAGAGAGAAGAGGAAGGACAGGGGACAGGGGGTCTTCGCTTGAGGAGGTGACAGAGGAACCCCGGGACGGGAGGGCCCCCAAGGACCTGACCGAAGCCCAAGAAGACAGTCTGGGTGATATCGGAGGGCCAAAATCTGGGGTAAAAGGAGGGGAGGATACTGGGGCCTTGCGGATAACCTTAACCCCAGACCTGTCCCGGAGGTTTTCCTCATTGTCTGTATCAGCAGCATTGGGAATGAAGTTGACCATGCACTTTAAAGGCAAACACAAGCTAGAAGCTTCATCTACTGTTGATGGCATCCAGCTACAAACAACAGAATAACAGCAGAAGATCTAGTAAATGATGGTGAACACCATGATATGCTGGGAAACATTTATGTTAGTCAAGTCAAGGAAAGGGATGGCATCAGAAAACGGATACGAATCTACAATCTGGCTTCTGGCTCTAAGACTCTATACCCTGAAATCCTATCCCGCTGAAATACCTTTCGGATGCCTGTCTAGAGAGCTCTGTTTTCTGAAGCTCCTCATTCTTCTCCTCCTCTTCCTCATCTCTGTGGCAAAAAGGAGGGATTGAGGGTTGTAAGGAGGGATGAGCAAAGAAAGGAAAGGAAGAGCAGAAATGAAAGGAAAGGACAAGAACCACATGCTCTGATGACAAACAATATGACACAGGTAATCACAATACAAAACCTTTAGGAAAAGTCATGTTATGTTACTTGGTCAAACTTAAAGGGTTAGTTCACCCAAAAATAAAAATTAGGCTGCGTTTTACTCACCCCCGATGCATCCTAGGTGTATACTTTCTTCTTTCAGACGAATCCAGTCGGAGTTATATTAAAAATTGTCTTTGATCTTTCAAGCTCTATCGTTGTACTCAGCGGGTGTTGCATTGCTTCTGTCCAAAAGACGTGAAATAAAAAGCACCCTTCCACAAAAAAAAGTGTCTCACACGGCTCCGGGGGGTGAACAAAGGCCTCCTGTAGCGAATCGATGCGTTTTTGTAAGAAAAATATCCATATTCAAAACGTAATAATCACTTGAATCTAGCTTGCGCTCACTGTTGTAAAACGGAAGCAGTTCTGGGGGAATTACGTATGAGGTCAGCCTTGCGCATGCGCAGCCCAGAAGTGAAGCACGCGGAGAGATCGAAACAAAACAAGTCACTAATTAGAAGTACAAAACGAGGATTTGTAAAGAAGAATGTCGGAGGATTTCGATATAAGCCAAGAGGAGACTTGTTTTCCTTTGCTAAAGTAAGGAAACTTTGCTTCCTTTGCTCCTTGTAAATAAATATCACATTTGCAACTGGTCAGTGTTACAAAAATGCTGAGAAATCACTTCATAGCCCTACAAGAGTGATTACTGATAAACTATCTGAAAAAAAGAAAGACACGTTTTAGAGAAGAAAAAAAATCACCCACTGACTTTCAAAGTTGCTACATAATAACGACTTTCTACTTCGAGGACCTTGATAGAAATGTAGTGGAGTGAAAAGTACAATATTTGTCTTTCAAAATGTAGTGAAGTTAAAGTAATAAGTTCCCAGAAAAAATAATACTCAAGTAAAGTATAGATACCCAAAAAGTGTACTTAAGTACAATACTCAAGTAAATGTACTTAGTTACTGTCCGCCTCTGCACCTAGGATGCATTGGGGGTGAGTAAAACGCAGCCTAATTTTTATTTTTGGGTGAACTAACCCTTTAATGTCACATCAGTACAATATGGAGGAAACCATTGCGAATGATGCTGCCTTCAAAGCGCTCTCGGAATAATAATAAATATGAGTTTCCTAGCCTCTTCCTGGCCTTTCAATTTGTATTTATGACTGGGAAACTCAAGAGATAATTTTGATACTGCGTTTATGAGTTGAGCTGTAAACTAAAACATGGAGGAGGAGCAAATTATTGCTGTAGTGACTGTTAAGTTTTTTTTCCTTTTCCTTTTTTTCCCCATAACATCTATATTGCTTTCTCTTGTCATTACAGATAAGTAACACACATATTGTATCTATTTTACACAATGAAAATAGCAATTATTTGACCGAAATTATGGAATCATCAGCAAGCTGAATCTAGATTCTACAAGTAACAAATATTGTAGTCAGCGGTGAATGCGGGTAATGTTTCTATAGTTGCCAGAAAACGGGATGCTATACTTCAAAATTTGGTGGGTATTGACTATCAGTTAATATCAGTTTTGGCTTTAATACACTTTTCCCCCCAAAAAATAGGCAAGAATGAACTTGCTGTCCTCTATGTTTCCTATTCTTTCTGACAACAAAGCACTTGAACGTGACAAACTTGTAATTACGGCTTCAGAAGTGGGAAGTAGGAAATATCTGAGAGCACCTAAAAGCATCATGACTCTATAGCCCAAAATAGACAACATGACCAGTGTAGTCTGATTGCTGAACGAATGACTTTTATGAGCTGATTCTTTTTAGTGAATCAAAATGCACGTTCTTAACTCGTATGATCATGTAAATGCGTCAAACTGTTTTCCTCGGGACAAGGTCATAAACAGCTTAAGCATAAACAAATTAGCATCACAACTCACAGAACAAATGGAATACTCTGAGTAGAATACACAAATAACCTGATTTTTTAACCCTTAAATGCATACCTCGGGTCTTTAGCGACCCGGGACATCATTCTCTACCCTCTCCCTCCTTCATTTTTTGAAGTTAGACATCAACTTTCTTAGTATTCCTCAATCTATTAATTATAAACAATATAACAAGAAAAAAAATGGCACTGTTTGATACACAATGATGACGTGACGTTTCACTCATAATTACCGCAGGCATAAAACAAACGAATATCATCAGCAAAAACTTAACTGATTTGAATGGCTTTACTGCAGAGCAATTAATATACGCAATGAAATATAAATGTCACTGTCATTTGATGCTGGATGTGGTGAATAAGCTGCCAGTGATCAAAATATTGAATATGAAGTCATTGAAAACGATAGTTTTGAGAATATGGCTGAGATCGTGAATGTGGGGCAGATGCTGAATGCACTGTGGAAGTGCGCTCTGACGTTGACAGCGATGTTAAAATCATCTGCTCAAATTCAACCCTTTTAAGTTTCAAAAGGTAAGGAAATATGCTTTATTTTCTTCTTCTGTAATTGCTCTTAAAATATCAAGAGAGTTTTTTGCTATTGCATCAGTTAGAGATCCATCCGTGTTGGATATATTGGTCCGGGTCGCTAAAGACCCGAATATGTAATAATGATTGGCGAAACATTCATGCATTTAAGGGTTAATTAAGTCTTGTAAACACAGTTTACTTGCATTGCCAGGTTATTTATATGTAAGGTTACCAATATATTGGTTAACTCTAATGAGTCGGTTTAATGAATCAAGCACACATAAATAAATCAGTGTAGTTGCTGACTGGTTGTTCATATGACATGAACTGTAGTTAAAGACACAAATCTTTTTCTTTTATTTAGTTTGTAATATTTTATAAATATTAATGAATTAAATATGTTACCTACATTCTAAGTTACATTTTTTGTTTAGTATTGTTTAATATGGAGTTAAGGCCAATTATTGGATTGAATTTATGCTGCCAGACTGCCACTAAAAAGACTATGAAAGGTAATTTCTTTTGCAAGAATTGTTTTAAATTTATAATTTGGCAATTGCATTTGTATTGAATCTTTCAAAATATTAATACCTTGATTGCTAAAAAAAAATACCTACCCATTGTCAAAACAGAACAATAATCCATTTTTGGGTCACAACCCACCAGTTGAGACCCACTGAGTTACAAAACAGTCAACACAGCAAAGGATTAAGACCTTTAGGAGGAAGAGGAGAAGTGCCATGCCTCACTGCTCAAGGGCCTCTCTCTCCATCTCCCAGTAGACTGGTATTTATTACTAATATGGAAAACACCGCACTTCAAAGGTCCTTCTAATTTTCTGTGGTGGGTTCGCTAACAGACGTCAGGATCAGATGACTGACTGAGATGAATTAAACTATCTGTCAACCAAACCGCTCTAAGAAAAATAACCCATGAAGCCCATCACTAACAGCAGATCCTGTCATCAATAATCAAAAGCACAAGCAGTCTGTATAGCTCAACAAAAGGAGGAAAGTGACGGGAGATATAAAGAGATAGTGACAGGAGTATTCTTGCTTTTCTGGCCAATATCTGACCGCAGGTACTGAGCAGCTTTCAGACAGGCACAAGTTCACGGTAAACAATCTTGTTAGTAGTTACAGTTTACAGATCTTGGTTGCTAATATATATTAGTACTATGGCCAATATAACAAACATCATTACAGATAATATAAATTAAAATTATTTTCTTTAATATATATAAAAAACACACTTTTACTATATTTTAATCAATATTTTAATCAGTTTTATATATATACATATATATTTATTTATTCATTTATTTCTGTGATGGCAAATGTCACATGATTCTTGAGAAGCCATTTTAATATGCTGATTTGGTGCTCAGGAAACATTTCATATTAATATCAATTTTGAAAATGAATGTGCTGCTTAATGTTTTTGTAAAAACTATGATATATATATATATATATATATATATATATATATAG